TGGGGGGGGGGGGCGGGGGGTCTTGTTGTGGGTATTTTTTTGAGATTTGTATTTCTCTTTTTCCTCTCGCTGTAAGGATTTTTTTTTTCTTTTTAATTATCGCTGTGTAAGTACCCATTTTAACGTTCTTGTTGTAAGTACCCACTTCTTAAAAGTAAGTGTCATTTTACTTTCCTGTTGTAGATGTAACGACTTTTTTCATATTCTCTCGTCGTAAGTACTTTCTAAAACTCTTTGTAACTACCTTTTATACTCTCATTGTTAGTACCTTTTTATTTACTCGTGTTTGTAAGTACTCTTTTTAAATCTGTCGTTTTTTAAACCCATTTAAGACGATGTTTTGTAAGCGAAGTAGGAAAAGAAGTATTGCTAAAAAGAGTTTTATATAATCTTTGTAACGTTGGCTATACTGATGGGTGGAATGGCTTGTGTTGAAGATCATAATAACGGTTGTGAGTGTTGTAAAAGATACGAGCCGTCATGGTGATGCTTTTAACGATCAGATTCATCACAAAACCCACATAAAGACTGACAACCGTTAGGCGAATTCAATAACAACAGAAGGGAAAACTAGATAACGACAACAGAAGTAACATTGACGACAATAAATTACAAATACAACAACAAACTGAAAACACCAACATTAATAACCATTTCACAACCAGGTATCACCCCCCTCCCCTTCCCCTTCCCCTGCTCCTGTCCTCATGCGCTCCCTCGTTCACAGATCAAGGAAGTCGGCGATGAAGACACAGGCATGTACCGTTGCACCGTTAACTTCGGAGGCGAGCAGAAGATCAACGCAGAGGTTCCTGTGCACATTCAGAAGGCCCCTTTCTTTACCGATGATTTTACCAAGACGCTCACGGTGAGGAATTTGTTTTTTGTTTTTAGTGTTTGTGTGTGTTTCGCTTCTTTTACTCTGCATGTTTTGTTTGTTTGCTTGTTTGTTTTTTGTTTGTGATATTTTAGGATGGTGTGTCCTTTCGTTTCTGATGATTTTTTTTTCGTATTTTTTCTTCTGTTTAAAAACGTGTTCGTTTAATTAAATACAGTGGATTCCTTCATGTGTTTCGAATATCATTGTAGACCTATTCTTTACCAAGCATGGTAATATTTTTCTTGTTATGTTCTTACCCATAATTTCTGGTTAATACTGTTTCACTAACACAAAAATGAAATACCATGCCGTTTTTTAAATCAAAAACACATACGCACATAATGAAAAAAAATCCTTCCAGCCTCAACTAATATGGCCGTATAAACACTAAGATTTGTTTTCTTTTTTACTTGACAGGTAACTGAGGGCGACGCCATCAGTATCGACTGCCAGCCCGGAGGATGGCCCAAGCCCGATGTCTACTGGGAGCGCCTTGGCCAAGAACTGCCCTACTATGGCGGTAAATTCTTCAAGTAAGTTATTTGGTCTTCTCCAGGGTGTTTTATTTGTGTGGTTCGCATTTTTGTTTTTGTTTTCATTTTTTGCTTTTCGCGCGTGTTTGTTTTTTGTTAGTTGGTGTGAACTGTATTTTTCTTTCTTTCTTTTGTGATTGGTTCTATCATCTGATCTGTTTCTCTCTCTTCTCTCTCTTCTCTTTCCTTTCTCTTCTCTTTTGTTTTCTCTCTCTCTTCTCTTTTCACTCTCTCTCTCTTCTCTCTCTCTTCTCTTTCTCTTCCCTCTCTTCTCTACCTTCTCTCTCTTCTCTTTCTCTTCCCTCTCTTCTCTCTCTTCTCTTTCTCTTCCCTCTCTCTCTCTCTCTCGCGTGAGCTCATTAACAACGCTCCCTAGCTTCCCGTTTTCTTGAGCTCTCCAGCTTCCGTTTTCTTCCTCGGAGAAAACGATTCCCGCTCCCCCCCCCCCCCCAACCCTTTCGATTTCCGTTCATCCACCTTTCGAGTTCACGGTCACTGGATGGCGAGTTTTAACCATTACTCTTCTTCAGCGCGCCAGCTGTTCCCCCTCCCCGCCATATGTCGCGATAACCACCTGGCGTTCATTGGCTTCTGCCTAACCCCCCCTCCCCCTCTTTCCCTCCCCAACAGGTCTAACCAACTGGACATTCCTCTGATCGAGCGTGACCACGAGGGACACTATGTTTGTTATGCGGACAACAACATCGGAGATCCTGCTAATTCGCACATCATCCTTGAGGTCCAGTTCGCACCTGAAGTCATTGTCGAAGAGAAACAGGTCTGTTTTTTATTTGTTTGTTTGTTTGTTTTTTACTTTTCTTTGATCTTATTCGTCTTATTTTGTATTTTTTTTTTATTTTTTTTTTTTTTTGCTGTTATGTGCTGGTTTGAATTTAATACGGTAATAACGATCCCATTTACTATCTCATTCTTACTATTACAAAAAGAAAAATAACATGACTCTGACTAATATCCACAAGATTCCCATCCACACAAAACGAATGACGAACCGAACAATTTTCAAACCACCGCCGTTTCCCCGCAGGTCTTTGCCTCCCCGAGTGAGCCAGTCAAAATGTCCTGCACC